TTGGTTTGTTACAGGTGAATTATAAATACTGTGTTTCTTAAATCAAGGTTTATTTAATAGCAAGTTTTGAGGTAATTTTCCCGGCATATTTTGCGGAAAGCTTGTTTTTGGAGTACAGCTCAACTCAAAAATCCTGTATTTCCAAAAGTGATATGGAAATTTGGTAGCGTATTGGAGTCTGATGTCCCTGGAAATAAATCAGATCTGGGGCCAGAGGAACTTCCAGGAATCACCCAGGGTCAGGTAGTTCAGTTGTGACATATCTTTCATAAAAGCAATGAGGAATTTCAGTAACTTAATAAGCTTGCAAGTCATCAGATTTTCCACATGCAGTCATGTAGTGCAAGTGCAATAGAGTGTATTAATAGTACTCCAATGTAACATTTTCCAAGTGCTTTTGTAGTAATACTGGTTGGGTCATGTATTTCTAACAAGCATTAATGTTCCTTGGGGAAGACTCAGAGTATAAGTGCCTTATACTACCATAAAATATGGAATAATCAAATCTGTGAAGGCCACAGCAAAGCTGACGGGAATACATGATGCTTGTGTATTATGGAACAGACATTCCTTCTATTTCAATGAGGAGCTGGAGGAAATTATTTTGAAGAATATGCATTGTATACGTGAAGCAGAATGTAATTTTACATAATGCTCAAATTTCCTACTTACCCAATATGTGGCCGTGGGGGGCTTCCAGAACAGAAAAGACCTGGAATTACTGCTGTCACCCCAAAATCTTTGCCCACTGTCCTTTGCTCCCCTTGTGTTTATTTTCAATGGCACCTGGCTCTACACTGAGTTGTTGGACAGTCAGGGCCATGTTCTTTGCCCCAGAGTTTGGAGAAGGTGATGATGAGATTGCCACATGGGTACTACCATTCCCACGAGTTAGTCTTTTGGTGAGGACATCCTAGAGTGTGAGCCTGACTCATGGCTGAGGCTGAAGAAGAATTATGTCTCGACAACATTTGATTAGTCTGCATTCTGTTATTTTGAGAAAAAACCAAACCCGTAGTTGAAAGATGCACCCAGTTGAAAGATGCACCAGTTGAACATAATGTATTTCCATTGATGGACCACAGGGGTAAGGTTGATTGTTCCTTTTGTAAGAACTGTTACTGTTCATGTGTCTTTAATTGAAGGCAGTATTACCTGCCTGTCAGTATAGCTAACAGCCAGTGCCACTGCAAATGATGGAAGGTATAGCTTAATAGCCTAACAATGTCTTCAAATTTCAGCCCCAGACTCAGTCTGGTGTCTGTCCCTGCCCAAATTTGTACCCAAAGTTTGACCCTGTCCCCTGCTGCAGGGATGCCCAATATATCCTCACACATAGACATCTTTCCTGCTTTGTCTGCAGTTAAGAATGCTTCTGGGCAAGGCTGCATGTGAAAGTATGGGTCTTGAGGTTCACATCTCTTGTGACTGTATGTTATGGCAGCCTGTTGTCACCTGCCCTGTGGTGGTTCCTGAGCTCTGCAACAGCAGAGCATCCTGTCCCAACTTAGAGGGAAACATTCCTCACAGCCCGGGGGCTACAAAATCTTTTAAGTCAGGGACTGAAGTATTTTGTTCTAAAACTTCATACACACACACTTATACGCTACATATGATGATTTACAAGAACAACTTATGTTTTACAGATTGTATGAACTTCCAAGTATATTTTAATATGGAAAAATTTCAGTTAATATCATAATCCATGTAATGGATTAACATCTGGTTCTGATTTCCCAAACCTCGGCTTCCAAACTCTTCAGAAATTAATGGGAAAGTCAGTAGACAACTTCAGCACAGAGCGTAGTATTAATTCTTCATGTCTGTTTTATTTTACTTTATTTAGACTTGAAAGATATTCTGTCTTACTGGCATCAGTTCAGAGATCTCCCCTCATCACCCATGAATGGGAACCACATCACTACATCCTCATATATTATAACTCAAAGGAGAATTTTGAGGGAGAACAGCCAGAGAAATTCAGCATAATCCATGTCATGAGTTGTATAAAACAGTTCTTGTACTTTTCACTAGTATGACCCTTTGTTGTTATTTATGACCTAGTTGTTATTTGAGATACTTTAATCAGCGGATTTAGAATTTATTGATTAATACAGGTCTTCATTTCCAGACAGAAAGGGCCTTGTTAACCCCTGTCCTGTAAGCCAGTGAAGAACTGGGCCAATCTAGGAAACTCAAGTTTGTTGTTTAAGTCCTAATATGTCACACTATGGGAGTTTTGCAGTTGATTTTAGTGGTAATTATGAAACAAAAGAGAAAGGTTTATATGAGTGTTATCTGTATGTGGCTTCTTGTGTCTTAAAATCTGTTTGTGTTGTGGCATGTGAGATACTGCCATTTTATTTGCAACTGCATTGGTGCATACTAGGTAATAAAGTGTCAGGGCTCTGTGAGGACTGGGGGCTCCTGTGGGTCTGGGAATATCCCCAGGAGATGAAAGGGCATTTGTTATCATTCCTGGTAGTGACTGCTAATTCAGAGTAACCATTTTTACCTTTCTTTTATGCATTAAAAAAACCTGAAATTAACCATCCTTTTTTTCCTTTTGCATGGAACAATTTTTTTGCCATTATCATGAGTATGTATGTAACTGTCACATACAAGGTATTTTGTGCCCTTATAAACTCAGCATGTGCTTTCTTGGCACCCCAATATTCCATTGCTGCAGCTAGTGATTTAAGCTCTTAATTTAATATAATATTTCCAAATAACATGAAGTCTAGTTTGACCCTTACATCTAAAAGTGATGGTATGACCAATTTTTTTATGTCCGGAAGTAGGACTGAATGTAGAGGAGAGTAAATGCTCAGAGTGCTAAATGCTCTCAGATTTATACCTTGAGATCAAAAACCTAATCTTATCAAATTAATTCCTTTTATATGAGTGGTAAATATGGAGTAGCCAGAGTTCAAGAACATAATCATATTCAAAAAAGTTTTATAACCTAAGACTCGGTGTGTACCTCAGGTATGCAGGTGATAACAAGGATACAGGCAGGTCATGGCTGTGACTGCAAGGCAGAGGATATTTAAATAAGAGATGTGTCCCTGGCCATTAGGACCAGAAGGGTACAGACAGCCTTGAAGGCTTTGCAAAAGAAGCAGCAGGTGAGAGAAGACAGATTTTGGTGGAAATGAGGGAGAGAGGGATTGTCATAAAAAGAAGCAGGGTAACCAGGAAGGCAAACCTTTATTTCAAGAGGAGGTAGTAAACCTGTTTCAGGAGGCAGTAACTTGGTTGCTGAGAAGCAACATGAGAAGCTGCTGCTTGATTTTGCTGCCCACCAGGCTGTGGCAATTCTGCTGTCACCATAGGGGGGTGGGGGTGTTTTATCCCATGCAGCAATGGGAGCCCCATTGCTTCAGCTCTGTAGCTGAACTTGCAACATTTCTGTATGTTTAAAAGTGACAGCTGGAGGCAAGGGTGCTGAGGTAGCCCAGAGGGAAAGCAGAGCAGTCCTGAGCATCACAGTGAGACCCTGTGAGGTGTTAGTGTCCACCTTGATGACTCTTTAGGCTCACAGATCTGTGTTTCTCAGCTGAACACTGCACTGGGGCTGCAGACATGACCCAAGCTAGAGGCATGTGCCCCTGGGCTGTGAGACAGCCCTGACTGTCCCAAGCTGTGCAGGAAGGTGCCTGCATGGGGTCCTGCACATGGGCTGGGACTGGAGTGCCTTCATCCCCCCAGTAAATCAAAACCTATCACACATCGATTCAAAGCACTCCTAAATAAATGAGCCTTCCAGCTGGTGTCAATAGGATTTCTAGTTTCTTTCCCATTCCTCAGCATCCTTGGGTCCCCAGAGAATATAATCAAGCGCAGGAGACTGTAACAATCAGGGCTTGGAGATTATGTACTATCCAGGCACAGCCTTGAGGAGTCATGTTTGCTGACATTAGGTTGACTACAGCTTTACGGTCATTTTACACATGACAGCACATCAACTGTGTAAACCTTGCTGGAACAGGAGATTGCCTTTGACTAGCTGCTGTGAAATGGAAATGATATGTCTGTGTCTACATGGACTGAAAATCATGGCTACTGTTTGCTAGTCATTTCTCAAGCTTCTTTTCTAATTTGGTGTAATTTTGTAGTAGAGACAGGCATTAAAGGAGCTCACAGTGCAGGTGTGTGTCACATCCCCACTTCATCAGCGCCTCCCATCAGCCTCCCATTAGACTGAATGGGCTTCACCTTGAGAGCACAGATCATATTGTATTTTCACAACTTCAGTAGAATTTTATTCCAAGGGAAATCTGTGCTCCTGCAGAGGGAAGTATTACCCAAGGTTGCTTAGGGTAACAGAAATGAGCTGTAGCTGATGTGATTTCTGGTGGACAACCCGTGGATTCAGGTACCATTTAGGATAACTGGTATAGAGTTTGAGCCCTTGGCTTTCAGGGTAACTGTATAGAAAATAGATGTGCTAGCCTGGCCCTTGCACCATAGCAATTTTGTAAATAATGATTATGCCTGTTCTCATTTTTCAGACTTAACAAAGCTATATAAAGTTTGTGGTGTAGATACATTTTAGTATAATAATTTAAGTATGGCTTTTAAGCATAGTTTTGTACAAGTTAACTACATTTTGCTTTAAACTAGCATAGAAAAATTGAAAATGCTTTGACCTATTATTTTTGACCAAAATCAAATATTCCTGTATGGTCCATAACCTGACCACTCTATGTGTCACAAGAAAAACAGAAATGTTCCATTTTAGTTTTTTGTGATATTCTATTTCATGTGACTTGAAGTACAGTAAAGGTTAGGATAAACACACTTTATGCAACATAACATCCAAGTACAGAAAATTTTATAAGACAAAAGGAACAAAGACTCCCACTGAAAACCTGCTGGTGTCAAATAATCATTTATTTTGCTGTTGTTGACTTGTCCCTGCCTAAATGACAGGGGTTTAGCTACAGGAAACAATATTCCAACAAATGCTTGTGAAACCCTGTATAATTCCTGTCACATCAAAAGCCTGTGTGGAATTGTGTGCTTTTGGCTTCAGTGCTCTTTTTTTCTCACACATACAGAAACAATACATGAGGAAATATTTATGCTTATCAAGAAAGAAGGCTAGTTTGCTTTGCAAACACAGAACATCAATGAATCTTAAACTGCAGGTCTGAAGTTTGGGTGAATTTCAGGGCTGATGTCAAATATTGTGCTCAAGAGCTTTTTCATCATGCCCTCCATGTTCCTGTGGTAGCTGCTTGTGAGGTTTCGGATGGCTTCTGTTGTTTGCTCTTCTATTTTGGCAGAGAGATTACCTTGGGAGCCCATTACCTGAAAAGCAGAAGACCTCTGAGCAAAATGAGAGGCTACATATAACCATGTTTATTGAACTTTTCTTCATCATGTAGCACAAGCATAACATAAACACATCATAGAGCTTCTGAACAGTGAGGGTTTGATCTGGGTTCAACTGTAAGCATAAACACAGGATTAAAGGCAACTCTCATGCTCATTAGCAATGGGAATCTCCCTATGTAATGAAAGTTTACCAGCTTGCTGTGGGAAAAACATTGTCTATGTTTTGTCTTTTATATGGCTCATTTTAATTTGTTTTCTATTTTAATGACTAGGCAGCTAAGTTCTATCACTGTGTGCCATCGTTTGGCCTCATTGAGAATGCCTGTGAGTGCAGCTAAAGCCCAAACATGGAAAAGCCTTCCTGAAAATGCATAATTACAGTTTCAGAGTACTTGAAATGTCTTCAGCAGTTAGTGATGTATAACCCTCAACAGGCCTCAGACAAGGTCTTTTAATGTTACATCTTCTTATCTGGCGAAATACCAGACAGCTTCTGGCACAGTTAATATCAGGACATTCGTTTAGAATTTAATTGACTCTAGACTCACTGAACATTTTAGCAAGGTTATGTTGTAAACAGATGCACACGTTCCAAATCTGTGACTTTGCTCCCTCCTCCCCCACTGCCCCAACATCTCTTGAATTCTTCCCTTATGGAAAAGTCCTTCTGATACCAGCAGAGAAATTGGTTTCCAGCTAAAGAATTCCATGTGGAGAGAAGAAGACATTTCTGCATGCTTGGATAGTAAGAAAGGAGTAAGTAACATATTCTTGTTTGTGCCACGGTTCTCTGGGGTGGACTAGCAGATGGAGCTAACCTGTGGTATATTAGTGGGGTACCTAGAGCATGATCAGAAACAAGGGAGGGGTTGTTAACTCTATTTTCTGTGTGGTTTCAGCCCAACTTAGTCCTTAAAAAAAGGAAAAGCATATTTTGCATAGACTACCTTCCCTGTTCTGTTTATCAGTACCTGGCAACATAGTAAGACATTTGTCCATAATCCACATATAAACCGTTTTTCAGTTTGGAAAAAATGTAGGTTGTAGACGAAATAATAAGTATTGAGAAAAGATTATAGTTTTCTATAATAACTATTTTTAGCTGACATTTTATTTTAACTTTTAGACAAGTTGCAAGTGTTGCATGTGGGAAAGGTTGTACAGCTTAGACCAGATTTATGGAACTGAATTTTTCCACTGGGGAGAGTAACTTTCTAGAGATCCCAGATGGTTGCATGTTATCCAGCCACTAAATACTTTTGAAAAGCCTCAAGAAAAGTATTATAATTTTAAGAAGAGCCTCTGCAGACCTGCTTTCTTGGCTCATGCTAATGTCATTTGAGATAGTAAACTCTTACTCTTCTGAGTTTTTCCCTCTCTTCTTCAGCTTCTGAATTTGAGGACCTTTTTCTTGCGGAATGCAGGCAATGCTCTGCTTAGTTTATGATTTCTGCTGACCTTGAAGGTTTTTCCCTTATTTTTCCCATACAGGTTTTATGCTAGTGTCATTTTAAAGCTGCTAAAATATTACACTGGCTCAGAAGCCACAAAATTCAGAACTAGGCTGCACATCTCCAGAGTTAGGTGACCTCAGACAATGAGTGAAAAAGCAAAATTGGTTTGAGATCCAGGCAAAAAATTTTGTGTGTTTTGAAAAAAGATTTTGCATATTGTCATTCTAACCTCAATCTTTATTTTTCTGTTGCTCTTCTTAATTCTGGATTGATATGAAGCCTCTCATAGTATGAGAAAATTTGCTCCTGTTTGAATATAAGTGATGCAAAGTAGGAGGAAGAATGGCATTAGAGGAGACTATGACAGACAATTAAAAATACTTGTGTCCAAATGCCCAAGAAAGTAAACTGAACCGGGCATCAGAGCTCCCTCTGCACTGGCTTTGCTGGAGCTCCTGTCTGCCTCCAGACACAGCTTAATAATGATGGCATTTTTCTGGGTAGGTGAATGTTCGACATAATGGGGTCAGGGAACGTGGAGGAGAACTGCAACGATCTTGTACAACATGCTGTCATTTGAGGGGCGATATGTGCTCTGTCCTGCTCATGTGAAACGTTCCGTTGACAAATAGTGGCCTTTCCCTGCAGCTTTAATTTGGTTGTGGTGAAAAAATGGAGTTCACAAAAAAGCAACATCTTTACTCTTCTGCTATCAAGACCTAGAACAAGAAGTCTGGCTTTACTGAAAAGGTGGACAAATTTTAGAGGTGTTTATACTTTATTTTGGTGTCAGTAAACAACTGAAACTGTACATTTGAGACATTTCTACCTGGCCTGCCTGTGTGACAGTGCATCTGGGGGATGGCAGAGTATGATACCAATACTTTTCTCTGTATAGACATTCCTAAGGCTTGTGAGCCCTGCTGGAAAATGTTTTATGTGAAGTGTGACTGAAATGACAGGTTGGTAAAACTAATTTTGTTTGACCTCTTTGGCTTTTTCTTTTCTTTTTGTGTCCACTTTTGCACAAGTACTTTCATTGTCTTTGCAAGATACAACCTGGGGGAAAAAACAATACCAAGAATGTAGGAGGAAGGTCACCTGGTAAAAAGAGAATGGTTTGTGAATTTCATGGAAATACTAGAGAAAAATGAAAGCTGCCATAAATGTATAAAACAGCTTTATTCAGATATGAAAACATTGAGCCAGACCACTTTTACTATAGAAACAGTGAAAAACTCCAAACTTTTGGTGACTTCAATTGACAAAGGATGCGGTCTTACATGTAATGGAAAGAGACAGCTGAAGTGGAACAGAAATGAAAAGAAACATTTTAAACTTTTGCTTTTACTGACACATCCACCTTACTGAATCCTCCAGTTTCAGGACAGGAACTAGGTCTGTCTGTGGTTATAGAAAAAAGACCCCAAAGTATTTTTCCTTAAAGGACATACGTCTTCAAAGCATAAGCGTGAGCCAAATATGGAATCTGGACCATTTTGGTGGGGAATGTTCACAATTTCTTCTACAAATGCATTCAAAGTCTGTGAAAAAGTCCAAATGAAGCATATGGACACTGTAGATGACACCCCCCTGTTTAATCAGTATGACCAAACTGGTGTGCAGGAGTCTCCAGGTAATACTCTTGGAAACAATTTGGTTTACCATTGAGCAGTTTGGTAAGACAAAAGAACACATGCAGGTTTCTTACTTACATTTGTTTCCTTGTTTCTAAATTCCTTCTCCCTCTGTAGTCTGTAGTGGTCTATCTCGGCTGTGGCTTCTTCCTTGGCCTGCTTCAGCCTTTTGCCCTTTCCTGGAGGGGGAAGAAAGAGGCATTTATTTCATACCATCCCTGTATCCCCACAGATGAATCTCTCCAAATCAGCGATATTTTAGCTGGCATAGTAGAACACTGACTTTGCTGAAAGTCTTGTCCATCCGATTTACACAAGAATGGTCAGAAGAGATGAAGTCATTGACTTAGAACACTTTTTGACTGCTAGCCAGTCATGCAAGTACCCCTCTTTTGAGACCAACTTCCTGTGGAGAAGCACACATCAAGTGAAGATCTTCTTGGTTTGCTGACAACAGAAGTCTTTCTGCAAGTAGACATCTTCCCGCAACACAAATGTATTTTTTTCCTAATCACAGCTTGGTGTTTAAATAAATATCTATCTTTTCTTCATCAGCAATAGTAGCAGCCAGATAACAGATTTTAGTTGTCACGGATGGGAAAAGACGTTATTCTGTAAGATTTCCTGTATTGATTGGTTGCCAGAATCCCTTCATCCCACACCAACTGGATTCTGCTTAGAGCTGGCAGATATCCAAAATAATGCAAGATGTCTTAACCACTACCAAACTGAGTTGCAACTTTCAGGCTTTGTCCTTTCTTCCCCCATCCTCTTCTACTAACCTTTGTTAAATGTAGAGGTGAGTGACTAAGATAAGGAGGTCAATTCTTTGTCAATGCACAGAAACCATGAAAGGGATTAATTTTTTTTCTTGTAATTTTAAACAAGGTGATCTGTAAGGTGACATTTTAGCGTGTAGTGGAAACTAGAGCCTTTCTCCTCACCAGGCTTGATTGCATACCTAATTTTGTTTGCTGTGAGTAGTTTGTTTCAGGTAAAACGCTATGGGCTTGTCAAATTAAGAACATGTAAGTCACTGCAGGACTGGACATAAGGACCTTTCTGGATCTAGCAGGGCTGTCATGTAAAGAATAAGAGTAAACGGTTTGATGGAAATGTGGTGTTTAAGGTTGTACATGAAGGAACTGGTGAGTGTGTCATAAAACCCCTCTGGGCTTCTCTGTCATTTATAAGGTCAGTAAAGTTGCATGGACCTCCTCAGGATTCTGTGACACTACCTTGTGAGGAAACAGTAATTTTCTAACTTTAAACCTCTTGCATGGAATTTTGGTATGCTATACTTGAGACACTTGAGCTAGTGCTGATTTTTGGGGTCTCTTTCTGCTGTACAGATAGAATTTTAGGAGTGGGGGGAATAAGGTTGCTCCCTTTTCTTAAACAGGAGAAATATCTTCAGTGGCTGAAAAATTGTTTAGTTGCTTAAATTAGGATATCACAAGAACGTGAGAGTGGTGGCCTAGGCAGCTGAAAGAGCCATCTTGATCTCTTGTGGCACACTGATTTATTTACTTATGGTAACAACCTATTTAACACCACTATTTCTTTTCCTGAAATCCTAGGAAACCTTCTCTGCCTAGGCTAGGAAGATGAAAGATTTCTTGTTTTCTTTCTCCAAGCTGTTACACTGGTTTGGTTACATCTGAGCTGGGCTTCTCCAGCCTTATCAGGTGTGTCATATGGAAACTTGCTCCCACTGAGCATGGCATTATAAGGAAGCTGAAGCTTGGGAGGAAGACTGTTTTTAATACACCTGAGATTCAGCAAAAGCCTGGGTAAAATACCTGATTCAGCAGGAAATTACTTCTCCAGCTGATTGCTCTTTCCAAAATAATTATCTGCAGATGGGTAAGTAGAAGCAGAGAGATGCACAAAGTGGGAATTACTTTTTAAGTCTTGATTTCTGGACTACTGGCTTATTGTGGAACCTTGGGAGTGGCATGTACACAGGCTTTTAACAGGAAGGAACAACCTACTGAGGAACTAGATAGCTTTATTGACTCCCAGTCCATCAGTGCAGGGCTCTCGTGTGTGGAAATTATATTTATCAGAGTCCTTTTCCCATACAGCCACTGTGCTTATGTATAAACGGGAGAGAGGCTGTTTTAAACCTAGTGGGTGCTTTTCCAGAGTTTGTATTTGTTTGGAAAAGGCTGATTTGCCCCAGCTTCTGCCACTCACTGTATGAAGTACTGGGACTAGGATGAGTGAACTGACAGATCTGTGTGAGAGCCTGACATAAGTCTGGACAACAAAATTTGGAACCAGGTTCAGGTCTGTATTTTGAAGTTTCCCTTATTCTCCTCTCCAAATTTGGAGCTGATCAGCCTTTTGTAGAGTTTTCACTCTGTAGGAGTGGAGCTGGGGGGCGATTCTCTGGAGCTGGCAGTCAGGGGGAGTGACTACAATGAAGCTTTGCCAATTTCACCAGCTGAGGAACTGGGTCTCTATAGCAAATTAAATTATTTCAAAATCAGTGGGATTTTAATTTCAAATTCCATCTGGGGGGCCATCTGTAGTAAATATGTTGCATACTTGGCCACCAGATAGATAAATATATCCATTTAAAATGCAGAAAATGGAAAGAGATTAACTATAAAACAACAGTTCAGTTGCCTCTGACAATATAGATAGTGAACCAAAGAGTATATATATATACATATGTGTCAGCTCTTGACAGTGCTCTGGAGTAAGCACAATACACAGTGTCACTGTAGGGTGGCAGCCATTTCATTTTTCCATGATGCCTTTAGGATTGGCACAGCAGGAACCTGCTGCTTCCTATTTAATTAAGTGGAAAAGCTGTGAGTAAATTACTGCTAGTCCAACAACGTTGTGGACAGAATCGGCAACTGCCAACATATGCGACGGTGCATATGCTGCACCTGATTAAGTTAAGCAGAAACTAGAGCTTAACCTGCTGTTCCACTAGGGACAAACCAAAATTAATTAATCAGTCTGTTGTTAACCACTTGTCTGCTACCGTAGTTGTGCAATACAGGACTGCCTTTTCAAAGCCTTACTGATCTGCTGGGCTGGTGCTCTGCAGAGCACAGCCAAGCTGAAACCAACCCTTACACACTGAAGGGTGGTGGAGTGCAGAAATTCAGCCAAAATCATGCAAAAAGAGGGCAAGAAGTGCAGGAGGATGGGAAAACCAGCCCGGCCCTATGACATTTCCTCAGGATCAGAGGTGAGGTACAGAAAGCCCCAAACATGAAGAGATTTTTGCCACAAAGGTCATGCTATGGGGGCAAGGATTGCTGCTGGCCCCCTGTCCCTCCTTCCATCCCTGAAGATGGAGAGCAGCAAAGCAGCTGTGCTATGCCTGGTTTCCTTATCATTGTGTTAAATTGGCCAAATTTTAAAAAACTTGCTGTGACCATTCAGAACTGTACAGGATTTTCTTGCCTAACATGGGAAGGTGTTAGTAGCATGGAGAAAGGCTCTATTCTTCTTTCTAGGTATTTCTGTGATGTTCATGAAACACTTTGCTCTGGTTAGATCCACATGAACTGGTGTCTTTTAAGTTGTTGGAGTTTTTTAGATCTTGGAAGAAAGACAGTAGGAGGCAAAAATTTTGCATTCTAATTTGTCCAAACACTAAATTATCTTACTTTCCAAAAACTGCAATACTAAAATTGGAGTTTTGTTTTCAAACATATCTTCTAGGCTTCTAGCTGAATTTCTGCATAGAAATCAAGTCATTTGAAGAAGTTGCCAAAAATTAATCATATTTTCTTAAAATAGAACCATTTCAGTTGTCTTTGCTAAATTGTCTGGAAAATGGGATTTGGGGATGTGCGTTGTGAGAAAACTATTTTGTACTTTTAATAAAATAGAATAGAGGCAAGCTGAGAATTATGTATAGCTTTCTCAGTAGATAAAATATGTCTTGGATATTGTCCAAGAGGAGCGCCATGGATATAATTCTGTTTACAATATCTTATTTTGATTAGCATTTGGTTTTAATCTGATTTTCTACGATCTTTCATCTGAGTTTTCTTTTTATTAGGCATGAGAAATTCAAGGGAAGATGTAAAAATCTATAGGAGAATGAGTTTTGCTGAGCCCAGTGTTCATGACACATTTGTTTCCCTTGTTTTACCCAAAAGGATTTTCAGGAATTGATGTCTTGGCGCTGACAATGCTCAGTTATTTCTGGGATCCAAATTTTGCTTAAAGTAAAAATGATAGATAAAGCAGCACCATGTTCAAGTGGTCAAATGATTGCAGACTGGTTTGGCTTGTGTTTAATCAATCTAATTTCAGCCTTGCATGTGTTCATTTAATTAATTATTTAAAACATTAATAATTTTTCAGCTATAAATGATATCAGCTAATGATATCATGGTAGGAGAAAGGGTATTGAGCAAGTAATTAAGCATGTACAGAGGAACTTTAGCATTATATTTTTGCTTTGTGTGTATCAATATAATTTTATTTGCTAATTTTTTCAGTTACTTCAAATGGCTTTTGCATTACTAACAAGTGCACATATGTCAGCAAAACCTAGGACCATTAACTGTTTATATACAATATTATGTGTGTTCACACTACATTTTGATTGGTTATGTGAGTATCAACTGTAAACACTGAAGGCTTTGCATCAAGGTGGTTTTGCTAGTCCCATTTCCTTGCAAATGCCTTTTCCTGGTGTGCCCCAGGAACAAGCTGCCAGCTGATGTCCCAGTGTCAGCACAGCAGCCAGACCCATCGGTGCAGTAGTGTTGTGCAATGCCTGCTTGGGGTGACAAAGGAGGTCACAGGGCTGGGAGGCTTCAGTGCTTTCCCTGGCAGCCCAGACCTGCAGAGTGCAGGCCCTGAGCAGCAGCTGCTGATCCCAGCTGGTGCCAGGTGGATCTGAGCTGCCCGTTCTGGGGTGAAGCAGCACCTCCCTCCTTGTTCCACCCAGCTGTGTGCACAGGTCAGCCAACTGCACTGCACAGATCTGTTGCATTTCATGTATTGTCTTTCAGCTTAGCTCTTATGCTGAGACAAACTCTGCAATAGTTTGTTTTTTTGATCTAAGTGCAGAATGAATGTGGGGAGGAGACTGCTGAAGTAACCCCAACTTAGAATAGCCAGATTTGCCTCTAAAAGAATTTCTTTTGCCCTTGTCCCACAGTATTTAACTTATGCTGGCATAGTTATCTAAGGTGGTGTATCGACAGTGCTATGGAAATACTTAAATTAGGGACAACATGGGCATTTTAATTTTGCTTTGTAGCTTCATTGCCAACTTCTTGCAATGTTGAATAGAATGGTTGTCTAGGTAGAATTATGCTGGTAGATTACCTATAATGCTTGTACCTATAATAAACAAATCCAGAGTGGATTTATTTAAACTGTTTGCCCTTGATCGGCTAATTTTGGAAATTCTTGAGGTTTTTCATGGAATCATAGTGAACTGCTGAGGCTGGAAGGAATCTATAGGATACACTCCCTGATGGAAGCAAGGGAAGCTTGACTGGGGGCATATCCAGTGGGTTTTGAATGTCTCTGAGAATGGAGATTCCCCAGCCTCTGGGCAGCCTGTTCCGCCCTTGCAGTCACTGGCTTGTTTTCTTACGTTTACATTTGTGTATTGAATTTTTAATTTTCCTTAATTTTTATAAATGAAAAAAAAAAAGTGATCTTAAAAGTAATAGAAAAGAAAGCCCATAGTGATGATATATTTTTATTCTGAATTCTTTTGCTGATAGAAAAGTTCTTAATAGCTGTTTTTCTGTAGCTGGTTAATAACTCCTACTAGTGTGTTAGTGTTGAGGAAAACAGTGGTAGTGGTTTAATTCAAGTTTCTGACTCAGAGGGGTCTGAAGATACTTTATCTGTAAGAAATCCTGTTCTTATCACAGGCACTCCAAGTGCTGTGGTGGTGACAAGGGAGTGTGTCGTTTGCAGACTAGAGTAAATGCATCCATAACTGTGTCTGGATTCTTCAAGACATTCATCTTTGGTCATCACTTTTACATTATAGTTATTCTTTATATGGAGTTCCTTAATTTATGAAGCTTCCTTTTTAATTGACTGTTACAGAAAAAGCTAAAGTGACTCTTCTGGTTTAAAAAAAACCACCACAAATGAAATCAAAGCAACAAAAACAAACCCCCAAACCCAAAAGTAATCCACTTCAAGCTAATGCCTGATTCTGCAGTCTGTGTTCAGGCCAAACTCCTCCTTGCACCGAGGCTGTGCCTTTCCAGGTCGTGTGCCCTCTTGCTTTGAGGGAGCAGTGTGTTTCCTCTGCGCTACATGAGAAGGGAAAAAACATCCCTCCCAGAGCTCCTAGTTTGGCTGTGTGAGAGGTCAAAACACTACTTAAGTGTCCCTTGCCTTCAGGTTTCTGCCTGAGAGAGTTCTGTTTTATGAAGGTGGGAGGATTTGTTTTAATCTCTACTGTGTCTGCAAGGCACAGGCAGTGCCTGGGTGCTTAGGGAGGGAAATTGCATTTCTACTTATTTGTGTGTGCTGCTGTACAAATTGACACGTTACACTAAAAATTAATATTAATGAGCACACAACAATGCTGATTCACATGTAAAAGGGATATGGAAACTACACAAATTATTCTGTTTAGCTTCCATTCCTCCCTGGAAAACAAAATATATTCCTTTAATTGTGTTCTTGCTCCACATTACATCGTCATCCATTTTCTTTGCATTCTGCTGCTAGTTTCTGAAGCAAGATCACTCCAAAAAACAGTATTAATGTTTCAGTGCTAGTGCAGGTCAATGACTCATGTGGTTGTACCTGCACTCAGGAGAGTAATTACTTGTACCATGTAATAAAACTTCTGTGAATGATCTATTACAGTACTGAGAGTGCTCATGGTTTTACTGTGACTTTGATTACTATCAGGGTGCTGAAGTTTCCCCTTAGTTTTCATATAATTTTTTGAAGCCCAGCTTCAATTAGGAGACAAGTTACTGGATTTTGCAAGTAAAGAGGAACACTAAAAAATCTTAGCAAAACCTATTGAGAGAAGTAAAGAGTTTGGAGTCTAGTCCTCCAGAGCTGGCAGCCAACATGTGAGATTTTAATTTAAATAGCAAGGTAGTAATGGCATTATCAGCATTGAGATAAAGGAAGAACAAATGCATCTGACAGGATGAATATAACAAAGAAAACATTTTTTAATGTAATAAGGCACATGTACACGTAGGCACAAGCACACAGGGTTTTAAGCAGACTCTGAATGTTCAGGCTTGCGTTAATGCCTGGCTGCAGTCAAGGCACAGCACTAGTGCATGTATACAGATGAAAGAATCTTGTTCTGTGAGCTACTGTAATTCTGAAGGGCTTGCACTTGAGAAGTACAGTAAAACCAGGCCAACTACTTACTTTTTTTGGCTTCCTCCAGTTTGTCCTTGGCACGTTTTTCTGCCTGCAAAAGCTGCTGGATTCCCTGAGACTGGCTGGTCATGCTGCTTGCTGGGGCTGGTGAACTTCTGCGAAGACTGGAGCTCAGAGGGAGTTTTATATAGCTGCCAGGCTCTTCCTTGTGTTTTTTGTTCTGTGTGTTATTGCAACAAGCTTCCAGACTGTACCAATCCAGCTGGCTGTGCCTGGATTGCTGCTGCGCGCACAGGCCTGGGAGTGCAGTCAGAAAAACACAGCAGCAAGGCTGAAGGGAATGTCCTCCTCTCCTCAGGGTCACAGAGAGCTTGAAGTCTCTGATTAACACATTGGGGCAAAAAAGAGCACTTCAAATGGCTTTTTATGGTATTTTATTGCTGATTTTTTTTTCTTTTTTTTGTAGGCTCTTATTTCTGAGGCAGAATACAGTTAATCTTGTCTAGGAACTGAGGGGGGAAAATATTTTCTTGGCATTTCCATTAAATAAAACTTCTCCTCAAAGTGAAGAATCAAGTTCAGTCAACAATTAATTTTGGTTGAACGCCAAGAACTGCTTGCAGGCTTCTGTTTAATGTTACTTCTTAACACTACTTATTAGGGTTTTCACTTTAAAAAAATATTCAATAGGAATTAATTCATTGGGGACTAAAGTTTAAAAAAGCATTTCATGATTGAGGTATGCTCTGCCTTGTAATCTGCCATGATGGAGGTAAGTGGAGATGAGATGGAGTGAGAAACTCTGGGCTTAGCTCTAAGATCCAGACTCTTGCAAGGCATGAATGGTGGGCTACGTTTTACTTTCAAGTCATAATGCACACAACAGTCAAATGAGTGCTGTACATGGCTGTAAATGCACATCCCATTCCCTACAGAGGGAAAGAGGGCTTTGTGAGCTACTGCATGAATAAGCAGCATGTTCATCTTCTGAATCCTCATTAAAAAAACCCCAAAAATCCCACCTGTTACAGGTACTTCAGCCATTGCACAGGAGAGGCACATGTCACGTCGCATAATTAAAACAGATTTATTTTTTGTAAGAAAATACCTCACAGCATAAAGTAAGTATAGTATATTTATTACAGTAAAGTATATTTATTACAGGTTTTTGATAGAGCTCTGCCAGGACTGGAGATCACCTCCTGACAGAAATGTTTTTTCCATGCTGCAATTTTATACACATAGTTATATATTTATACATGTGATGTGATTTCTGTATATATTATACATAAAATACATTTATATAAAAATTAATTGGTGCCCTCTGCTAATGGTTCTTATTCTAGGGCCCTTTGTTTTCTGGGGCTTCCCAGGGCAGCTGTGTCATGCTGCTACTTTGCCGTGCTAGGCTGTTGCCTGATTCTGATGAGGAAATGTGTACTACATGAAGTAGTCTATGAAGTAGGCTATGAAGTCTTTTTTTTCTCCCTGCCAAATAGCTGTAGGTTTAAGAGAAAATGGAAGGGGAAGCCTCTTGCCTTATTATTGTCTTTGGCAGCGTCGTGAACAACAGCAGCACTGAGACCTGGAAAAGGAATTTGTTTTGTTTTCTGTTCTATTGTTTCTGTGCTAGTGCAAAGTCAAATGTCACTCAAGCTCCGCTTTTTTTCCAGTGTATCAAACACTGAGTTTATTTCTTCATCCAGAAGCTGTGTGATACTTGCTCATCTCCAGCACTGAAACCAGAGGTCACTCTAACAGCTGAACAGCAGACATGGCACTGTTTTTAGAAGATTTTAATGCATAGCCTTGAAGTTTATTTTATTCAGCCACAGAAGAAGTGATGATCAATTCTACAGAAAATGTGGAAACTGTAGGGTTAGGAAGCCATTTGCCACTGCAATTCAGCTACAAGTGGTATTACTGGCAAAGAAAAGCAGAAGTGGAAAATGAAAGTAAAAAATGAAGAGATCTGGTTTACTTGGGGCAGGAAACTTGAGCTCAGAACTTTAAAGCAGAAGTGACTTGAAAATTAAATAGGAAGTGGAAATGTCAGGCTCGTCTCAGACATCAAAAGTATATCCCTTTTCAGGCAAAGGGTCTCGTCAAGCAAATCTCACTGCAGTGAGAAATGTTACAAAACTACAGGCAAATTAAACTGCTTCAATTTTTGGACTTGGCTGAAAGCATTATGGGTGAGACCCTTTGAAATTTCAGAGCAGTTCTCAATACTATAATTACAGTATTTGGGCATCACTTATGATCTGAATTTTGATATATACAATCTATTAATTAATATTTCACAAAAAATGGTTCTATATGATGAATTTTTATGGGAAAAAGGTACAATCTTCAAGCAACTATAAAGTTCTTCCATTGTGAAAAAATTAATATATTCCTTAGGCAGATTATTTGGGCTGCATATGTCACAGTTCACACTTTTAATATTTTTCTGAATTAAAAAAAAAGTTTCAATTTATAATTCTCCTTGTGGCTGGTTTCCATACAGTGGGGTGGCATGCCATGCTGGCCCTTAGGGCATCAGGCAGGCACTAGTGCACATCTGCAGGGGAAAAGATGATAATTTAGTTTGGCTGGTGCTTATACATATTTTGTTAGACTCCACACGAAGTACTGCCACTTAGAACTAATTTCAAAGCTTGTCTGATGATGTTGGTGATGACCTAAGACTATGCTGACATGACACCTCTATGTATCCCACCTCATGGATAATTCATTAAAATAAAGTAGGTTAAGCCATGGACTGGCAAACTGGCTCCTACTTCATCACACAAGCCAGTAAGAAACTTCTCTGTGTCGTAGTTGCAGACTTTCTTTCCAAGTCAGCTCCAGACTCATTTAATTAGAAAAGAGAAGCTGATGTGCTGACTGGTGATGGGGGCAGGAGAGGTGTTACCAAAGTGAGAGAGGGCAGAGAAAGGGGTTTTGTTGTTTTTTTTAAAGTCTCCTTTTTCTTCTCAGCATCTTGTCTATCTATCTTGGCCTCCAGAATTTCCTGAGCCTTTTCTGGTTATCCCAACTGACAGGGAAAAATGGGCTCAGTTCTGGCATTCTTACTCCTTCAAAGCAAAGCAGTAGAACAAGAGCTCTTGAAGAGTGTTACAAGGGATAAGAGACCCTGCTGAGCTCTCCCTGCTGACCCACAGCTTGAACAGCAGAAACACTCTAAATCAGGCATTTTGAGTTTAGATGCAGCGCAGCTGCTGTTTTATCTCTGCAGTGGGAAGGCCAGGGCCAATGGCTGAATTCACCCCAGGTAATTCAGATTATTTGGAAAAAATCTGCTTGCTGTAACTCAGATTGAGCCTTACCTAGCATGAGTTTACCACCTTCTCAATCCACCTACTATTGAGCATTAAAGGTAGTGCTGTGGCATCCTTTTATTGTGGTTTAAGTGTGCACAGACTCTCCTGCAGGTAGGAGGGCAGCAGGCAGAGTTTCCACTGAAACGTGTTGAATGTGAAGGTCTCCCATGCATTGTCTCTGTGGCTGTACTTCCCAAGGCACACACTTTTTAAATATATATATATATATTTTTTTCATAGTTATGAACCAAATTCTTTCCAAATGAGCCACTGTGTGCTAAGTAGCTGCAGTTCAGGCTGCAGCTTCGAAGCAGCGACATTGATTCACTGATAACGCCTTTAAGATCAGCAGTGTGTCAGGCAGGGCAGCTGCCTCGGCTGCTTTTATGGGTCTGTGTGCCTTTTGTTTCGTTGCTCTAGAAAGGCCTAAGTGAGGAAAAGCAGGGTGCACACCTGCATGGCTTCCTGCAGCACAGTGGGGACTGTTCCTCGTGAAAATGGAGCACCTTCTGATGCAGTAGGGTCTGTCATGCTGAGAGAGAGAGACAGGCTTATGTTAGCATCCACAGCAAAACGTCTTTGTACACAAATTCGTAAGTATACAGTGAAAACCATCACCCATATGTGAAAATCCTGGCTTTTTCTCTGAATTCAAAACCCGTTTGCTTACATTAGAAGACAGAGTTATGAGAACTTTGTACTGAAGTTGTAATTATGTCTGCAAGCTAGGATTCTTGTTGCAGCCATTTTCTGACACTGACAGTTTCACTCTGATGACATCACCACAGCTGACCTCAGCAGCCTGAATTTCACCCATCAGCCTGAAAAATATGGGAACAAAAAGGTATGCAAAGATGAATAAATATTAAAATATTGCCAGAAGCCGCTTGTTGCCACACTGTCTGGGTAAGCTTATTGATTGCTGGCCAAGTCTGCAACACAGCCCCAGCTTCAGCTGGCATAGCTCTCTGATGACCCTATATTGAACACATACTTTAAACCAGCTAATATTTTTTCCTAAATTTGGGCTGTGTCCTAATGGAAGTAATTTTTTTTGCACCTATGGGGGTTTTACATTCAGAGACAGCCAGTGTGAGTTGTACATTTAATTAATTTTCCTAAAGGTCTCTTCAACATTCAGGAGAAAACTTAAGAATTAAAAAAGTGTCCTTTTTTAAAAAAAAAAATCTCACTACCCATGTGAAAATACAGGTAAAGCAAATATTCATTTTTAAAAAGTGCAAAAGAAAAAGCAGCAGAAAAAAAGGCCATAGTTTCTGTGTCTGTAACTTCCAGGTTAATTTATAATTTCACTGTCATTAGGTTGTGGTTATTTCCTATTCTCAGTTTATGGTGTGATCACCTCAGCCAACAAATCCCCACCCAGCAGATCACATACTCCCCCACAGTGGCATGGGGGAGAGAATCAGAAGAGCAACAGTGAGAAAATGTGTGCGTCAAGCTATAAAAGCAGTTTTAAAAATGAGGTGAAAGGGTAGGAGGACACAAACTGATGAAAAAGAAGTCACTTCTCACCTCCCACAAGCAGACCAGTGCCTAGTCAGCCTCCAAAGAGGGAGTACTGAGGAAGGGCCAAACTCCAGTTCTGTGGCTGAGCTGGCACTGTGTGACACCCAGCAGCCCTTCGGCCAGCCCGTGGTGCTGTCCTGGCTGTGCGCACTCCCAGCCTCCTGCCAGCCCCGTGAGGGTCAGAGCTGAGGAGCAGAGAAAGCCTTGACACCCTGCAAGCCCTGTTCAGCAACACCTCCAACGCTGGTTCAGCACAATTTTAGTTGCAGGTTGCGATGAAGCAATTAACTCCATCACAGCCAGCCCCAGCAGCACACAGCTTCATTTCAAGGACTTTTCTTTTATTTTTTTATTTTTTTTTTTTTTATTTCCCCAGTGCAGCTATTTGCTGTCTTCTTTCCCATTCTTCTGCACCATGGCAGTGCCTCCTCCCCTATGACATTCTCTCTGTGACTCCTCACATTGCTGCCTTTCCCAAAAGAAGTTTGTAACGTTATCAGTGTATTTGTGCACCCAGGCAGGCAGGGAGGGGAACTGGGGAGCCATGTAAGTATATTTTGAACTGTGTAGGCTAACCAACAACTTATATTCCTGTCACAGCTCAACATTCACTTGAAGAAAACTGAGTGTACTATATTAGAAAAGTTCAGCTCTGTCTCAAATTAGACTTAAGATCAACAAAGATATCACAAAGAAAATAGTTCGACTTTGCAGCCTAGAGGAGCTGAACCTGTGGTCCTCTGCATTGTACTTAAGTGCTGTTGCTTTGTGTACAGCTTAAGGTCGTTTAATCAGTTTTCTAACTTGAACCAAAATCTCAGTTTTCTACTCAGTCTTTTCACTGTATTTCATTCTAGCTCTGAGCAACACCGGCTTAAACTAAAAGTGAGAAAAACTAGTAAGAATTTCCTTTCTTGTAGTGAAAGTATTAATACCTCAATAGGAAGAAGGGAAGCTTTATTTGGAAAGGTAAGAAAGAAAAGATGGGGTGGAAAAAATGAGAAATACTGGCAACCTTTCCTTTAAGACTAGAGTAGAAGTTGCTTTAGCTACGGTAGTGTGTAAATTTTCCTGATGTTATTCTGATACAATTCTGAAGGTGAATACGGTGTTTTTCTCCTTACGTTGTAAAATCAACTTGTAATTAGTGCTCCTAAACATGTGCATGTATTTATGTTAGTACATGTGTGTATTGAAATTTAAAAATCTCTTCTCCACCACTTTCCAGTGACCTCTAGGTTTTTTGGTGTAATTAAAAAAATAAAAATAGAACTTATCCTCCCTTCATAAAAGAAATCAGAACATTAATTTTAGCCTATCCACCACTTTACATCACGTCTCTGGTATTTCTGTTCCTTGTTTCTCTTGCTTGTCATGTGGCTGTGAGAGTAGTGAGCCTCGTCTCAGACAGTTCCTCATTTTAGAGGGGGAAGGTTTTTTATTATCAAGCCTTTGTGCAGTGCAAACACTTTTCCACCCCCTTTTTTTTACCATTCTCTTGGTAGCTTGTACAGACTTGGGTTTTCCTCAGCTGAAGGTAATTCTGCTGGTGAGGATCTCTGGATGATTTAACGTAGAGCCTCTTACAGGCTTGAAAAGAAAGTCAAAATTCACGGTTAGTTGTGCTTTTCTTTCAAACACTTCACTTGCCAGTACCGTCAGAGCTTCTGAAGCTAAGCACCACTACAGCGTGTTCAACATGTCCGGAAGCCTGGCTGCCCACACGGCCGCGAGCGGGGCCGTGGCTGCCCCTGCCCTGGGCGCCCTTCCCGCTCGGCCCTCGCCGGGGGCTGGCCTGCTGGGGAGGAGCAGGCAGGGAAGGCCGGCGGAGCAGAGCAGGCAGCCAGAGCTGCGCTGGGCCGGGCTGCAGGCGCTGGAAGCGGGGCGGGAGCGGAGCTGCGGGAGCCGCCGCAGGGAAGCGGGGCGCTCACAGCACCTCCCTGCAGGCAGTGCCAACCTCGGCTCCGAACTGTGCTGCAGCCCGGGCTTGTTTGAAATTCCCCTTGGCCTGGGATGGGAAATAACAGGAGCTGGTGATCCACAGATAGGTCAGAGGTGGTTGGTGTCGTTGTCCTGGAAGTGGAATAGACTGAAAATGTGCATTTCTGACAGCAATTATGCTTACAAAGGTGAACCGCGGAGCACGGGCCACCAGGGAGAGCTCCCTGTGGGCCTCCCTCACAGCTCCTGTGGGGCAGGTGGCTCTGTGTTTCTGTGGTTATGGCACAAAAGTTCTAGGGGTCAAACTTTGTCTGGGAGAACAAAGAGGAACAAAAGATTTTACAGAATAACATCTTGGAAGATCCTTACCTATCCCAGGGAATATTTTCTGGCTCTGCAGAGAGCCACAGGATTTTTGCGATCACACAGCATTGCTATCTATGCTATTCTGAAGTCATAACAAGAATGAGGTGAATGACTTAAAAATATTTTTTTTTAATATGAAATGGAACTTCATTTACATGCAGTTAATGTTAATATGAAAAGTTTGCTCTAGTAAATATGTGGTCTGATAGGAGCTGCTGGAATCAAAAATAAAGGCAAATTATTATCAATTTGGCAATTCTGAGAAGATGCCTACTTTATCTTTGAAATAAATGCCTGGATTTTTTTTTTTTTTTGAGAAAAAATTTGAATTAGGCTAATATGAAAGCACAAAAGTATTCTCTCTATTTCTGTCTGAGGATATTGTGAATATTTGCACTGCTCTTTTTTGACACTATGGGTAATAGCAGAAGCAGCATGGATTAAACCTTTCTCACAGAGCATGGCATAGGCTGTAATAGAAGTCTCTCAAAAGAAAAAAATCATTGCTTTGAAAAACCTCAAAAGATACATTAAAAAAAGAAGCTTCATGCTTATGGGTATGGTAACCCTTGATGAAAGGCTACACAGTCTTGGCTCTCAAAACACTCTTGAAATTAAATTAAATCCATTGAAATTCTTTAGTAAAGGCATAAGAAGTAATAGCTTTTATTCTGTCAGTGTGCCCTATTGGATCTTTCATTCCAAGCCACCTGAGATCCTCCTCTTAATAGCAGAGATGATTGTAGATATGTGTCCTAGAATCCACAACACAAATGCAGTTCATTTGTCCATTTCCCTTCTCCCCCTTTTTGAGGTAGGGGTGAACACTGTATGCAAAGTACTGAGAATCTCAGAAATTATTCTTTTTTTTTTTTTTTTTTGCCTCTTTCTGGCCACTTGACTCCTCTTTGCCTTTGGAACAAAACCAGCTCTGCTTTTATGAAATAAGCTGTGACCATACGAGCCACCATTCCTGCATTTTGCCCATGCCAGCAGCTCCCTCTCAGTGCTGCTGCCCAGGGCTTCATGCTGAGTCTGACCTTCAGGCAGGCTTCTGCCCCCAGCTGCAGGTGTAGCACTGCAGCCCTTTTGCTGGCTCCTGCAGACGTGTTTTTGATGAATCCCACATGGGAAGAAGAGGGACAGACATGGTGATGAAAAGACAAGGCTTTCACCTTGCGAGCTTCACTGAGGTGCGGGGCAGGCACTCACCTGCGTGTGTCAAATAAATGTTGTGCTACGGTGTCAGGTGTGGACGTTGTGGAAACTGAATGTTATAGCAACAGGTTGATTTTTTTTTCATAATGTGCATATTATGTCCCATGTACTCCAGGAAAAAACTCCAACAGGAATGTGTGCTGTTACTCTGGGGACTGCTCTGAAGCATTACAGGTAAAGCACTATCATTTCCTTGAAATTTCCAAGTATAAAATACCCCCTCTTACTGTAATATCTTTGATATCAGTGTTTTCTTCTGACTGTCTCACGTTTCTGTTTTTGTACTTCTGCAGTATGTGAAACACCTGTTATTATAGGTATTGATGATGCTGAAGACATAACAAGGCACCTACAGCTTGGAAGCCTGTGTCAATAGGTATGTGAATTAAAGGGTGGGAGGGGAGCTGACGGTAAGAAGTTCAGAAACCTGACTCTTTACAGTAACTTTGACTTCCTCTATATAAAATTTTGCTGTTTTGAAGTTTGCAGGTTAAATATATAAAGGGATGACTTGGCTATGGGAACTTTCCCCTTCCTCAGACAGTATCTGATAAGGTTGCTACCAACAAATCAAAGGTTTGTGTGAAAATATGCTTATGCCTGTGGTTAGGTATGTGTTATCCTGTTATTTGGCTTACCAATCTTCATAGCAGCTTTTCAGCCTACCTTGTCAAAGAATCTGTTTGTTTTAGAAAACTGACCTAAATAATAATTTTGCATGGAAAACCCCTAGAGTTCTGTGCAGGGGCATGATTTGAACTTGAGAATGAAGGTGTTTTAGTTCCACACCTACCAGCAGTTTGCTTGACCCCTAAAGCAGCAGCAAAGAGGCATCCTCAGCCCCCAGGGTCAAGAGCCATAAGTGCTGTGGCATGACAAGGCCTCTATGGCAGTCTGTGGAGAGCCTTGTCTGTGTCCTGGCCTAGAGAGGATACAGAGATGACCCAGTCCTTTCCTGCGCCCCATGATGTCTCTCAGGTTGTCTAACAGCTGAAGGTAGCAGTGGGGAAAAAGTTGGTGAAGTTTCATTTCTAAGGTTTGTTCAAGGCATATAAAGAGGAAAAACTCTTGCATACATCTAGGCTGCAACTGCTAGAGTTAGTGTACTTAGCTTGCACTAAGATCCATGTGGGGAAATGGAGAGGCCTTAGAGGCTGTATTTCTTCCTCTGCAATCACCCAGAGGTCAGGTAAATGTTTTCAGGCTCATGGTTTTCACTCATGTTACTGAATCACAGGCTCTGCACAGTAACCATACAGCAGCAGGCTTTCAAAGTCCAACAGAGGAAAGTCTAAGTACTGGGGAATGGCTCGAAGATTTCATTGCATTTACTGCAGTGATTGCGCAGACTCTGAAAGTTGGCAGGTGAGGTGGCAGTAGACTCTGTGTTTGGAGGAAACCCTCATATTAAAAAGAATGCTTCACAAGAGAAGTGTTTCACAATCCCATACAAATAGGAAATAGGATCACTCCAGAGTGGCATAAGTGGAAGCCTTTGCTTTGCTTCACCATCCAAGTGTCTACAAGAGGCAATGTGACTTCAGAGTCCTAGAATTTCAGAGCTATCTTGTTAATTATGCTGAGAAAATCAGGAGATGCTTGTGTCTATAATCTTCCTGGTCAGCTATGTAATTTTTGCAGCTACAGAACCTTAATACTTTCATAGTTTTGTATGCTGGGCATACGAAAATTAAGGCTTTTCCTTCAGACAAACATACACTGAGCAATCTGAGCCTCATTTTAGTCTGATATCCCACCTTAATTTTCAGTTTACTGAGGTTCAGAAAGTTGCTCCACAATGATCAATGGAGATACATTCTGGTGAATGTGTAGAAAAAAAGATTTTTATATTTTTTCCCCTTCAAATATACAGTATGATTTTAAGCATGTGTCAAGCATTCAGGCAGAGTGATTGATTTATTGGGAACTGATTGATGATCAGTAATGTATTTGAATTAAGATAGTTTCAAAAATGAATAAAACTTTTTAATTTAAATATGGATTCCCTTTTACTAAAGGAGGTGAATGCAAATTAATTCAGATATTGTCAGTCTTATCTTACTTGTTGGGTGTTCTTACCACATGGGCGAGTGTTGCCAGATTAAAATACAGTATTATGTGTAGGCTGAATGATACTGCAGTATTTAGTGGAAAGAGATTTCTGTGATGAAGTCTAGAGAGCTCCCATACAAAAATACCATTCACTCATTCTACCATGTTTTGCAGTGTGGGATTTTTTTTTTTCAGTTGATACTGGGCAGTTAGGAATCAGGGAAGAATCTTCAGTGGACGTGTGGTGGTTTGTGTGTGCGTGTGCTCGTGCGTCATGCCCACAGCACTATTGATGAAAAGTTCTACCAGTCCTACTCTGTTGCAAAAATAATTTTCATTTCTCTACCCCTCTCTCTGAAACATCTTCAGGATAATTCCAGAGATTAGGAGAAACATAAAGGTGGGGTTCAAAAGGCAAAAGTTGTACATAAACTAGAAGAAGGAAAATATTTTTAAAATAAAACAAAAAACCCCCAACAAAAGAAATGCATTGATCACTTTGAATTGCCCAGCTAGACCTGATGCTTATGTGTGTCTTCTAGCTGTTTTACCCCTCTCTTCCTGAATTATAAGTTTTACTAAGTTCACAAAGCTGATTTAAAACATAAGACACCATGGAGTCCTCTCCCAGGGAAGCCTTAGCTGATGACAGCAAAGAGTATGTTGGTTTCAGTGTATTGTAACTGAAGCTAAAAAGGATGGGACAGGCTTTTCATCTGGATAGCTCTGTGTGGCATGGTGCATGAATACACAAGCATACATATGTGTCAAAATAGACATAGGTGTAGTCATAGAAATGTCAGAAAAAGCTGCTCAAATACATGGTAATAGGTCTTTAGTGTTTATTTGGTGCATTTTAAATACAATTTTTCTTTCTTATGGACTGTATTTTCAAGTTCCTTTTCTTTCTGTCCTTCACCCCACAGGAGTATTCCATTTCTTTCCATCTAAGACCAGCAGGAAGTCTGTAAAATTGCTTTTTTTTTTAGTAAGAACTATAGGATTTGTTCTATAGTTTTAGTGTAGATGAAAGAAATAATGGATTTCTTTGAAAAAAAACCCAAGGAAAATCGGGACCATTTTGTTCAATACTACACCACTGTTTTCAGTAATTGCCTTGTACAGTTTGCAAGTCTTTCCACTTTATGTAAATACATTAACTTCTGAAAACTCCTTACAGCTGTGAGGTGGGGCCTTTTGAAGGAGGTGTTCTTTTGAAGGTTCGAGGGTCTCTTAAACACACATTTTCTTTCTTCAAAGTAAATCTTGTAGACTCCCTGTCACAAATCCTTCTTGTTAGGAATTCTGCTTGAAGAACTGTTTGAATTTCAATATCAAGTATTTCAAACAAATACATCTAATGCCTCAATACATTTTTCTTAGGGTCAGTCAGTGGCCCTAAATAAGAAAGGGAACCTCTGATAATTTGAATTCTATTCCCAGCAACTCTTTGAAGAAAAGAATAAAATAAAATTTGAGCTTTTTTATAGTTACTCCTGAAAACCAGGAAAGAGAAAGTAACTGTAAAGTAAGCTTCAAATTTTTGAAGCTACTTCCTCTGCTTCTTTGTTTTGTGCTCCCATTCCCTATATTTTTGTAAGATGAGTGAGAGGTGAAAAACTGTAACAGAAAATAATGCAATAACTTAAGGCTTTGGTTTTGGTCTTGACTCCATAACAGAAGGAATAATTAAGTATAAGCATGTGTGTTATTATCAGTTTAAGCTGTCAAGTGAATAACAGTGAATATGTTTGAGTTTTCTGTAGTGAAATCCTGTTCTAGAACATTCTAATGATTGAAGGACAAGTGGTCTGTTTACACATCACTGAAAAAATGAGTCCATAAGACTGTAAAGCATTTACCTCTGAATTTTATTGTAGCTAAGAATGGATATTTTTCTTGACATAAATTTGAAAATTTGGAAATGTTATGATGCAAAGATTGTTTAGGCTACAAATCAAGAAAGAGAAAAGGTACTTGTAAAATTTGGATATGGAGAAAAAGAATATCATACTCTCAAGAAATGTGCATAATAAAAGCTAGAATTTTGCTCAGTGTCTCTGCTTCTGTGGGTGTGAGGAAGTACATACCTCATCTTGGTTTTAAAGCCTTTAGCTATGAGACAATTAAGGAAGAACATAGATTTCTTAAAAGATTGTCTGGTTTATGTTATGAGATTATACAGCTCAAGGACACCTTGTTAAGAAAACCAGAAGAGTACTTTCTTCTTTAAGTCCAGCCTCATTTTTATAGTCAGGGTCTCCAGGAAATAAAATTATAAATCTGGAATGTTATAAAATACTTTCCCATAATTCAAGGTCAGGTTATAAATTTAAGTTACTGTGTCTCTTGCTAGATATGTATTTGCTCTGGTTCTTAGAGCTAAACGCTTCTAAGAAGAGACCCTTTAAATGCTATTGACATTAATTTTAGCAGCAAATTTGAACATGACCCTTGCTGAGCCAGGCAGTGTGAGCTGCTTAAAACAAGTATATGCTCAAAGGTTTTGTGCACCATGGAACACAAAACATTTAAAGGATCCTCTTAACCTGATAACTCTTCCATCAAAAAATGGCAACTATTCTGCAACATCATCCATCCTTACATGTTCATATACATGTTCCTATATGTACCTACAGATACACTGAGAATCCTGTGGATCATTGCCCTTTTGGAACACTTTGCACTTAACAAATGCCTGTAGAGCTGAGAGTAGAGCACAGCATCCTGACATCTAGGTGGAGCTAGATGTAGTAAAAGCACATTGCGCTGTACTGGTGTCAGTGCTTTCTCTGCTGAGATTTTTACCAGCATCCTACTTGCATATGTAGAGCTCTCAGTGACTACCACTTCTTGCTCCATGATCTGCTTTTGTCCTGTGCTCTCCTCTTCCCTCTCCTCTCCTTCCCTCCCCCTCACAATTGCATTGCTTGACCAGAACACGAGTGTGCTGCACAGAGCTGGCTGTCAAAGGGTGCCTTTCCCTGAGCACTGCTATGTCAAGGGACAGCTGGGGAGAAATGAAAGCCTCTGTCAGTGCTTGTCCCCACCTTAGGAGACGGGCAATACAAATCTCTGCACTAGCAGTGTATGTCATCCAGTGATGAAAGTGTTCAAATTCAAATAATCCTGCAGAAATGGCCATAAAGTGACAGCTGTATCTTTTTAAACAGAGTGTGTATACCACAGGTAGATTAAAAGATGTGATTGAAGTACAAGCCAAGATACACTGAAACATAAAATGTATCCCATCAAAGGTGCCACCCAAAAGTGTTTTGGGGAGGGCTGTGTAGTGGATAATTTTGGTCCATACAAAAGTCCTATCATGTCAAAAGGGAGGTGTTGACAAGCTGAAAGAGCAGTTGGGGACCAGGAAGAGTGAGAGATGTGCTCTCAGCACTTGGACTGGACAGAACTTCAAATGTCTGCACACTTCTGCAACCTCTCCCATGCCCCAGGGCAGGGTTTGTAGGTCCTGCAGCACCTGGGATTCAATGTCAGGTGTGCTTTACTTCAGTGCAAGCTTCAAATCACCCAATGTATTGTGACAAGAGCTAAGAAAGCAGCTTATCAATTGAGGAAAACCTGGGGCACCTGACTCTAAAAGCTTTTCCAAATTTTTAATGTAATTCTTAGATGAGAATATGCATGGTATTTATCTGTCTCTGTACTTTTCTGCTTTCAGTAAGAAAGTGCTGGCACCTGTGGCAGGCAGATTGGTGAAAAGGAGCTTGGTACCTCAGATGTACAGAATGAAAGCTGAGATATCAGATAGGTTTTCCCTAAAGGATCAATGGTTTCATCCAAACAATCCAAAGGTGAGAAGGCATGGACTCACCTCAAGTGTTTTAGTGTATTAAATTGAGGATGGGGATTGAGGGCCAGGATATCAACACTGCTTTTTTAAGTTCCCAGAGTATTCCTTACTTCAGGGACCCACAGTGGACTGCATCAAAATGCCTTAGCTGATCTCCAGAAACTCCATCTGCAAAGATAGCTGCCAGAGACAGCATAATTGAAAATGTGGCTTCACTGATGTAGCTGGAATTTCACTTAGCTAGAAAAGAAGGTTATATTCAGTTCCTCAGTTATAGGAATTTTGCAGGTCTGCACCATTTCTGGGCCTTGGTAATTATCATACAGGAGCCAGAAAGTGAAACCAGCTTGGAAAGCTGAGAGCAGCATTGATTTATGAACCAAGCTGAGGCAAGAGCAAGAAGCAGCAGTCATAAATTTTTATTGTTTTTCAGTTATAGCTTTATTTGGTCTAATAGTCTTAATCTGACAATCCTGAAAAACACTGCTGGTGATCTTTCATGACAGTAAAGGTATTAAATATATCTGTTGTTGCAGTTAAACAAAACTTGCTTCAACTATATACATTTTTTACAAATACAGCATGAAAATTACTGTCAGTAGTTTAAGTGGGTGTTTGCTGGGATTCAAGATAAATAGCTTATTTGACAGGACTTTGGGGTTTTGTTTTTCCTTTTGAGCTCTTACTTGTTCAATAAATGGTTGTAGGTAGTTTGGATGATTGGTAGATAATTTATAAAACTGATTTTGCATAATTTAACTATTGTAGATCATGAAAACCAAACTATTTTGCCCCTTAATTAATCTGAATGTTAATGAAAGCATAGAACTATTTAAAATAGGTAAATAGGAATAGATGCATGATCTTCAGAGAGATCCCATGGTTATATGGTTATAGAAAGAATATGTACATTTTCAGCTGCTCAACTTTCTAACAGGAGCTAGGACCATGTATAAAACCCAGGCTTTCTCAAAACTACTTTTTCTACTTCCTGTTACCTCTTGGAGTAGAGCAGAGGCCATTGTAGAAGCAGCAGAGAAAAGCTCTTCCCACCTTGTTTCTGAACTTCTCTTTTCTCACCCTGCTCGTGTTCCTCATGCAAAAGTATGCACAGAGCTTGTTTTCCTCAGGACTGGTATTTTGGTGCCCAAAAATTGTAGCAGTATGTGAAAGGTATTTGGAGCTACAATACAGTGTATTGTAAGGCTGACCTTACAGATTCATGATTCAAGAAGGTGAACTGTCTGTGCACAGTAGTAAGACAGTTAAGGATTTTTTTCAGACTGGTGTGGGAAATTAGGAAAAAAGAAGGTTCTGAGAGCGAGGAATAGCACCAAGGATTCTTGGATCAGGGACAGTGGAGGGCAGGCAGGTCTTGTTTTGTTTGCTATCATCTGTCTTTAATTTGTTCCTGTTTACCGTAGAAGAAGGAAAGGAAAATGAACAGGTTATTTGCTTTTCTTAGACAAATTTATTTGTGAATCTATATTTTTCCATGGTCTCCTCCACCTAGAATGATAGTGTGCTGATGGAGTGGATAAAGTCTCTCAGGAAATTCACCCCTCCAGCATGTGTCTCTATTGATCAGTGTGGAGCAACTTTCTGAACCTCAGTAAACTGAAAATTAAGCTGGGGTATGAAACTAAAATGAGGTCCAGATAGCTCAGCATAGCTTTTTCTGAAGGAAAAGCTTTAATTTTTGTTTACAAGATTGCAGACTTGACAGACTGACTTTGTTCTGGGAACTGGCACTTTATTTTTGGTTTTCATCAAAATAAATTTTAAATTATGCCTCTGTATTTTAACTCAGAATCTCATAAACTCTAAGGAGGATCTTCATATGAGAAGAAGACAAAAACAGACAGAGACTCTTGCTAAATAATTGTTGCATGAAGTTTCATCTTCTGTGATATTTCCTAACGCACTAAGTGTAGGAAGTAACACTTGCTGTAAGGCAGAAAGAGGATGTGCAAATATTTTGTGCTGATCTGGGGAGTGAGAGCATATTACCAAATTAGTATATCAGCCTGAGCTTGGTATGGGAAAAATAAACTATTCTTGTTTACAATTTATATTGACAACATTTTATCACTTTTTAGAATAAAACTTAGAAACAGTAGTGATACTATGTTTTATTCCTTTTTTTTTTTTTTTTGACAGAGACTAGATTTTTGGCAGTGTACACACAAGCACATATAAAACAGTTATGAAATTGTGGTGTTTCTTAGGGTCCTGTTTTATGAGAAATGTGCAAGGGTTTTTTTTTCTTGAAACAAATGAATCTGATACTGTTTTGCTTCTCATGTGATTCAGTGGTTTATGCACTCTGAGAATTCCAGGTGTTTGGGGAATACCACAGCATGGGATTATCAACTTCCCCTCCTCCCCTTCCACCATCCTTTTTTGGTTATTTTTGGCTCTTCCATTGCACTGTATGCACAGACTGTATGTATTTATAAGGCCTCAGCAATATGTTTCTTGAGCTTTGTGACCCAGTTATAATAGCCAATTTGTGCTAAATGTCTTTGAGTGCTTATTATGAAATGTCCTATAGTAAAATAGAAATTAGCTATAAAACCCAAATAACAAAAAAAATCTGTTTATTTCAGTGTTTGACTTCCCAATGCTGTCCTTTCTCTTACCTGTTGTAAATCACTCAAATATTTGCTTGACTCTGCCAAAATTTGTCGTGCATGAGTCTACTGTTTATATGATTGTTACTTTATATATCCAATATTTTTGCACCTCTGTTAGGTGACTCTAATTATGCCCATTAACTTGAAGTGATAAAGAAATATTTTCAATTACATGAATGACTTTTGCATTACTCTTTTTCTTTAAAGGTTAAAACTTATTGCCTTTGCTAAATATTCTGTTGTTTTTTTAGTGTGAGAATAAACCAGGACATCCAGTTTAGACAGACTTTTTTTCCCCAGAGTATTAGCACTAAGAATTTGTGACATTTTAAGATGGCTTGTAGTGTGTGTGAAACAAATAAACTGAATGGCTTAGAGGCATGGAAACTGAGGGAGGGAGATGCAGACCCTGATGTACATGGTAAATAAATCAGTGGGATCAGTTTGGGTTCCTAACTGTTTCAAATTCAAAAATGACTATTGTGGGTTTAGCTTATAGAAATCTTCCAGACTCTTGTAGATTTATAGCAGTAGTTTCTTGACAAGTCACTGAGGAAGAAATAATGCCTGCCACATGCTTATCTTTGGAGACATTTCTCTAACCCTTTTGGACAGCCCCAGAGAGAAAAATCTTGTCACAATGTGAAGAAGGGCAGGAGATGGGCTATCAGAAGATGACCGACAGCATCGCTGTAAGCAGACCAGCCTTCTAGGTAAGGATTTGTGATTTATGCTTATAAATACCTTGCTCAAAGGCATTTTGTGCTTCTATACATTAATGACTACAATCAGCTGTGGAACTGCATGTCCATCCAAAACATAATCATAGCTGAGATGTTAGAAAAACATTTGCTGTAGAGCAATCCTGTGTTTTATTGGAAAAATGCACACAAATAATCTTGGCTGTAAGCACTGTCATCTGACAGATAGTGAAACACCAGGACAACTTGCAGACCACAGCTAATAAGCTATGGCAATGAAACTGGCACCCGAGGTTGAGGAGCAGTCTGGGTGGAAGCAGAATACAGTGGTAGAAGCAAAGGATACAGAAGTTAAAATCACAGAAGATATCTGCTTGGGAAGAAGAGAAAAGGGGACAGAGAACTCACAGAAAGCAAGCTGGTCTGCTCATTTACAACAGACACTAGAGAGCAGTTAGCATATTGCAGGAAGATAGCCTGAAACACAGGTTCAGTAGCCTATCCTGGCCTGCTTCAGCTGAAGTTGAGCATTAAAAAAAGATGAAAAAAAAAGCCTACCCTATATATTACCTTCAGAATAAACAGACTGGTCTTTACATTTGGTGCAGAGCACCCAGGAAACAATGTTCAGGAGATAAAGGAATACCCAGTGATCTGCAATGAAACCAGAATGTAAAGACTTTGAAAAAGACTGTTTGTAAGCATTTTCTTCTTTTACTGTGTGGGCTCTTTTGTGTTGGCAGGTGCTACTATTGCTTTACTTGTGTTCTGTCAGGCCTTCTGCAAACATGGCCCAACTGTGGCTTTATGGTGCAGGTAAGACAGCATTTACTGCAGAGTGTTATGTAATTAAGTATAAGTCTGCATATAATTTGGGAAAATTAACCAGCAGGTATAGATTAGCTAGTACCAAGCCATCAGCAAGTAAGTAACCAGTTCAGCTGAAGGCAGGGTGGGTTTTGTGAAGGTGATAGGGGAGACCCTGCACAGAGGGAGCTTGTTTAGTACCTCCAGCTGGGGTGGTATTCCTGACTTTCAGCCTGATTGTTCAGAGAACAATGCCCTGCCTGGAATTCAGCTCACTGCCCTTTAAAATTGTGGTTCTTCATTTGTTGAGACAGTCATATGAGTGCCTATAGAACCCAGAAGTTTGTACTAGGAAGTGAAAATGGCGGGGGAAAAGCAGAATAGGACTAAGAGGAGGAAAAATCTGACACTGTTGAAGAGCTCTTCTGAATAAGAGTTCAAGAAGTGGTCCAGGGGAAGCAAATATTCTATTAATTGTCATCCCTCCTTTTCATTTTCCCTTTCGAAGTGAATGATGGGAGGATACAAAGAAAAGACGCTATGGGTAAAAATGTTTATTTGATGTTTTATAATATAAAATGATCTCATTCACAGTGCAATATTTGAACATCTTAGACAAAGTTAAATCCTGAGCTGTTCTCAGCATCCAGCACTCATTCAGAACCAGGAGGCAAAGCAGATGTTCAGAACATATCTAACAAATCCCAGGGCCTATGGCTATGCTGACACTGTTTAAGGGTAGCAAATTCTAAGTGGGCATGTTAAAAGGAGCTATTCAAGAGCATTCATTTCACAATAACTGAGCCCACTGTTATCCTGCATTGATTTTATGTGTAAGCAAGAAGTAGGTGTCTGGCACTTCCAAGAGCTTCTCATAGGCTTACTGCTCATTTTGGGCCAGATTGTGCAGAGTGCCTCAGGGATACCAGAATACGTTCTCTGTCCTGAGCAGGTACAGCACAGATCATGCAGGCAACATGTGAAGTGAAGATGTCAAATCATCGTTGCCTGAGGGTTGATAGCAGCAGAGCAGTATGCTTGCACAAAGAGCTATACTGTTTACTCTCAACCTTAAAATAATTTGATCCAATATGACACATTAAGTAGAAATGTTTTCTTTCTTCAGGAAATAGTTCTTGGCAATTGAAAACAAGCCTGAAAAAGTCTGTAAAAAATAGATTCCTTAGCAAATGTTCAGTGAAACATTAAGACTGCTATAAGATGTGTTCTCTAACACGAACAATGTTTTCACAGTAAGACTGTCAAACTAATTTTACTGGATAAAATGCATAATGCAGGTAGCCCCCTTGATTTAAACAGAATTGCCCTTGGGATAAATTTATCCTCTGTCCCTTTGTGTTTGCAAAAGCATGTGACTTCAGTTTCTGTGAGCTGCTTAATTCTGATATGCAATGTGCTGAGCATCACTGTAACTGAGCTGAGTCATATGAGATGACTTCAGTACAACAGAAATTATGCAAGAAGAAATCTGCATTACTTTAAATACAAATGATGTGTGGAGTATGTAGAGAATTTATTTTTTATTTAGTTACATGCTTTGTAATGTATTCTTTCAAGGCCTCTGAACAAAAGGAAAACACAGGTGAGTTCTTGAGAATACATTGATTGAGAAAATGAATTCATACTACATTTTGTAAACACATTAACACAAAACAGCATTATGTTTAGGTACCAGTGAAGAACACCATTGCCTGAATTAATCCTCCCCCTCCATGCCATTATACACTCCAAAAACCAAATAAATCCGAGTTGAAAAACCTGGTGATGAATGCCTAAGTGAAACCATAATGACTTTGATAATCTGGACTTGGAAGTTGCGTTGTGTGAGGAATGTGAATGCTCAGTGTTATCTGACTAAACTCTTAGGGAAATGAGCATAGGGTGAACCTGAGCAGCATGAAAACATAAGAGAGAACAAACAGAGTGAGGTTTCACTGGCATCTTTCAGTCCTGCTTCCTATGGCATTAAACACAGTGAGCACCAGGAATGGTCCTATGTGGGTGGCACAGGCCCCGTAGATGTCAGAGTGCAGGGGAAGTGTGGCTGTTGATATCTGGTGGCAGATGTAGGATGGGCCAATCTTTGGGGACAGCCTGTGATGATCGAACCTGAGACAGATTTATTTGGCTTGTGGCTGTATCAAGATGCTGTTTATACCCTGGTTACTGCTACTGTTGCATTGCTTTAATCTTTCCAGTTTATTTCCTCCTGGCTCAGTAGTACCAGGCAGAGATAGGGAATGTTTTGGGGAATGCTCTTGGAGTAGAAAAAGGGAATCTCAGAATCATGTCACATAGTTGAAGAGTTCATGCTCTTCCTTCTTTTAGGGTAAATAGTGGTGAGTTTTATGGCTGTTACCTACTTTACTCTGCCCTTCACTGGAATAAGAAGCAGCTCCTTGGCTTCTCCCTAAAGAACAGTAAGGTATTTTTTAGCTGCATTAGCATATGGTGGAGTTGTTCTGGGGCAGAAATGTCATGCATGTGTGCTTGCTCCCTCCCTCTCTCTCCCACACCCTGCAATCTGATGTCTCTGGGCCACACCACTTACAAAGCAGAGCTACAGAAACACCTCCTGGTAGAAAGCAAGTTAGCAGGGACTGTGGAGTCTGTGAGAGACCTTGGTGTCTCTCAGCTAGCTCTAAGACTGTTTGGGGTCTGGGCAGAGCTTTTGCAGTGTCTAACAACAGTCACTGAGCACCTACAGCAGTTTTGTGTGATGTCTTATGAGAGGCTGTGCACGGAGATGCACAGCCTCTATGTGGATGTGGAGTGGATGTGGAGTGTTTTGAGGATCACAGCTCCTGGCTCCAATGCTGTGGTCTTATTAGCAGTGAGAGAACCAGACTCTCCCTCCTAGGTTACCCAGGGGGATGAGTAAAAAAGAGAAAGATTTCCAAAAAAATGGGTAACTTAAGCAGCTGCACATTTTTCATGTCATTTTAGAAATCCTTATTAATACAAATGGATGGTTCTGGCTTTGAGTTTTTCCAGGACAGGGGAAGTATAGTGCTCTAGTCACAGACTGACATAATCATGTTGGCCAATTAAAAATTCAGGCTCTGTCCTGAGAAAGAATTTATTTTAACAGTCCATTGTTTAATGTGCAAGTGGGGTAAATTAATTCTCCTCTTCCCTCAAAAGGAAAGTTTTGGGTTTAACCTTGGGAAAGTAGACCACAGTTTATGTCTGGAAAAAGACTTCATGAGTTCTAACAGAATCATAGAATGTTAAAGGTTGGAAGGGCCCTTGAAGATTATCCAGTCTCAACCCTCCTTTAGTGGGCAGGGATATCTCCCACTAGACCACGCTGCACGAGGCCTTATCCAACCTGGCCTTGAACACTGCCAGTGTTTGGATATCCACAACCTCCTTGGACAACCTGTTCCAGTAACCACTCTCACAGTAAAGAATTTCTTCCTAATATCTAAATATCTAATAACCTAAATTTCCCTTCTTTCAACTTGTACCTGTTACTCCTTGTCCTGTCACTACAGTTCTTGATGAAGAGTGCTTTGGCTTTCCTCTAGGCCCCTTCAGATGAGGTCTCCACACAACTTTCTCCAGCCTGAGCAGCCTGAACTTTCCCAGCCTGTTTTCATAGGGGAGGTGCTCTAATCCTCTTATCAACTTTGTGACCCTCCTCTGGACTTGCTCCAACAGTTCCGTGTCTTTCTTATGTAAATTTGTAACTTTGGTCATTAATTTTGACAGCTGATGGTTTATGGTTAGCAGTATACCTAGAACAGTGGGATCACTGGAGTGTATGATGTTCTCACTAAATAACAGGTAGGGTATTCCACAGCAATATTTCAGTGCTGTGGAAGCTCTGTAAATATCACACAGCCAGAAAAGATCCATTCTGCAGGAATTTGTCTTGGGGTTGCAGCTTGAGGAGTTGAGTGGAGATTGTCTAAAAGTACTGGGGAAGGTCACGTGGGAATGGAGCCTGGTTCTTTTTGAGAACATTTTCAGGAGATTCTTCACAGGATGTCATGCACTCTGCTCATCAGATGGCACATGTCAGCCATGCTGGTATCCTGCTTTTGTCTAGGATAAAAGGGACTAAGATGCCAGGGCTGTATATGTATGGCTATAGTACAAATTTAATTTATGACAACTCCAGGATGATGAAGTTATTTGATATCAAAATTGGAATCTCTGGAGTGTCAGAGCAATATCATTGGATCAGTTTTGTTCTGAACACATTTACAGTATAATTATTATTACAGCCGCTTTGACATACTGCTTAATGAAAGCTGAGATTTTGGCCTGTGCTGTAAGACTTGACTCAAAATTGTAGAAGATGTATTTAATCTCATGAGGAGTTTGAATCAGTCATGTCATTTGTGAATTATTTTGTGAATTTGTGCAACTTTTTCCTGTGTATTGCTTAGGAAGCCTGAAGGACTTACAAATAGGCAGCACAAAAGTAGTCTCTTCCTTTCTTTATCTGTCTTATGACAGGGTTCTGCTGGTTCTTTTAGAACCTTGGAGATCTTCAATAAGAGAAGCAATCGAGCATTTCTTCCCCTTGTAGTCTACTATATAAGGGACATTTGTTACCAGGTTGTTGAGAAGTGTCTCACTGCATGCAGTGAGGGAAAATGTCTTTGCTGTACCTTGTATTAAGTCCATGAAAGCGACAACATTCCTCTTGCACTATCATGGTAAAGAATTGTATTGAGTTCTCCAATTCTAAACATTACAGAAAACAGAACTGAACTGCCTCTTTCCATTTGTTGTGTATGACTGTCATACCCAGAAGAATATCCTTGTAGAAGGATTCAGAAATATATCCCACCAAATCACAAAATAGTGAGAGCTGGAATGGACCTCTAGAGATCATCTAGTTCAACCCCATGTTTAAATGGTTTTAATTTCATCATCACTTACTTCACCTGAGGATGCATTTTTATGAAGGCCTTGTTGTCAAAACAAGTGTTTTGGTGACTGGTGGTTAGAGTTTCTCTTTCTCTCAACAGAAATCTCAAGAAACATACATAACATATATGGGAATCAGTGAATGTGTGCAGAAAAGTGCATATGAAGGAAAAAAAAAGACTTTGCTAAATCCAGTCCTATGAAAAGTGAGTCTTGTGTAGCTCCTAAGTACAAAGGAAGAAATAGCTGAAAATAATCTACTTTAGTTGAATTAAGGAAGCTAAGTATTACTGCAGGAACCTAAGAAAAACCCCTTTGACTTCCTGGAAACTGAAAGAAGTTTTTTTGAAGAAGTAATTGTCTCTGACATCACTACAGTGCATTGCGAGTTTGCGAGTGGTTAGTTAGGGTAACAGAGGAAGCAACTCCTTCTCAGATAAGCAGGCAGTGCAGTGTATGTGCCTAGTTAGTCTCCTTCTGGGTTCAACTTTTTTGAAGAAATTCTTTTGCAGACAGATAACATTTATTTTGCTTTCCAGAGAGAGACACATGCTGTTTCATAAGGATACGCCTGATTTCCAGAAATAACCATGTTTTTGTGGCTTAAACTCTTAGCATTTGGTGTTGCATTTCTGGGACAGGATGCTTTTCTCAAAGGTAGGTCACAACTGATCTTTCTTTCTCTCATTTTGATCCCTCAATATCCTCTGTAGATGTAAAACCAGTGAAAAGCCTTGCAAAGTGCAGAAATACCATCTTGGCTCAGAAATTAGAGTACAATTGCATGCAATGGTGTAAGAACCTAGGTCAGGAAGACTGGTGCATCATGTACTACGCTAAAATGTCTCCCGCGTGGTTCCATGTGAGAGTTATACAAACCATTAAAAAAAACCAAACGACATTTGTAGCTGAATTTGAAAAAGAATACATTTAGGTCTTATATAAACCTGTTCCATGTAGTTTTCATGTTCAGCTTCATCTCATGATATAGTACTGGTTTTCTGTGTTGAAATCCTTCAAGAAAAAGGTCTTCCCATCAATATTAGCCACTCCCTGATCACAGAATCTGCTTACGGTTCCTCCAGTTCTGATTTTTTTACTGTAGGGTGATTAGTAACAAGTTCTAAAAGTTGTAAATGAATCTCTACTATTGGTAAATTACTCATTTTGTAAAACATTCTTTTTTATTTTGTAAAAACTGCTCCTTAAATAGTCTTTGGACTATTTAATTACCCCACTGCTGCTGAATTTGTTGCTTGACTTTTTGAGAGAAGGATAGAGCTGAAGAGGATGATCTTGCAAAACATGTTAGATGTTACAGATAAAGAGAGTAGCATGAAAAGCAGTTAGTCCTGAGGTAATACTTAATGTAAAGTCAAAAAAGTATCCATGTTCAAGAAAATATTTTCTTCAGAAGAAAATGCAATATTTTATGTGTATGTATCTTCCATCAGTTTAGCTGGTAATGTAATTTGGAATAGTTGATGGCAGACACAAAGTGGCTTGAAATATTTTTTCTGAAATGGCAGCGAGTTATATGGAGGGCTGAAATCTCTTTTCATTTACATTGATTTTATTCATGCTTCTACCCTCTTGTCACTATAGTAACTCCAGGTTTATACTATAAGCACCAAAATGATCTGTCTTTAGTTGATAACCAGCTAAGAACATTTGAACATTGAAGCCTGAGCGTTAGCTCTCTTGTCCCTTAAAGTCTGTGAACAGAGACAGCACTGCATAAATCTGGTTGATAGCTGCTGGAGATTATAAGAAAACAAGTGAATGCTGCACTGTAGAGGAAAAGAACAAAATCTCTTGGTTTTCCTGACTTTTTTTTTTTATCTGCTGTCCTACTTTCCATTTTATAAGTCTTTCTGAGACTTCCCACTGCTACCTTTTCTCCAGAAAAGGCAGGTTACTGTCTGCTCTCTCAGCCACCTCCACAGTCAGTCAACATCTTAGCTGACAGAGAGGGCTGGAAGATAGATAAATGAGTAGTAGCATTTTATTTCAAGTAATAGTTGTTTTTTTGTGTTCACACACAGTAGTCTGACTTGAGCCAGTTCCTGTCTACATTTTCTAAACTGAAGAGCCTCAAGGAAATATTTTAACTCCTCTCTACTACACTTAAATCAATTAAATCTTATGCTGTAATATCAAGTACACAACATCAGAGACCTTGTTTTTATGATGTCGTTTGGCACAGAGATTGCATCTCCTCTCAGGGTGACAGAGCCATTTTACTTCATACCTGCTGTGCAGATTGCTCTGCCTTGTGCCCAAGGGACACTGGGCAGTCTGCTAGGGAGGGGTTTGTAATGGAGGAGCAGCATCTCAAAAGGGTGGCATAGGCTTTGGCTTTATGGCAATCACTTTTCAGGCACTTGATTGTAAGAGTTTGGTGGGCATTTGGACTTCTTTTGTTATTACCAAAATTATTTTCCAGCAGCTGATTGTACCTAGTGATTTTGAAAACTTAGCAGGAGAAATTTTAAGGTTGTCTTACTTCCTCCACAAGCTCAGATATCCTATAGAACATCACTTATTTCCAGTAATCGACAAGCCACATTTAAGAGCATCAAACTACATGAAACTAAAGAAAATAGAAGTTAGAGTCTGCATAAAGGCCTTTTCACTGTGTAAATCCCTCAAATACAAAGCATGTATCCAACTAATTTTTCTGATAAGAAAAAGATATGTAGTGGTAATCAAACACCCCAAAAAACTGACCAATACCCCAAATCCCTCCCCCAAAAACCCCTAACCCAAGCCAAAAAAAGTCAGAAAAAACACCTTTGCTTCCCTTTAGAAAAAAGAAATGCTTGCAGAACAAGCACTGTTTCCATTAGATCACTATTTCAAGTTCCCCCCTCCTCCACTAAAGTTTTAGCAATTTGACAGCTTTCAAAAGCTTTTACTCACTTTTGAGCCACTTCCTTTATTTCAGGAAACTAAATAATTGCTTGATAGTTCGGGGTGTGACTTTTTTTTTTTTTCCCCAAGTTAAAAGTATCAAGCTTCAGCAGGCACACTGTGCTGGTATTGTCTGGGATAGTGTTAATTTTGGACACAGTAGCTAGTATGGGTTTGTGCTGAAAACCATGTTGATAATAGAGATAGATAACCACCACCTGACTTCCTATCCTTTGATGTAATACACAGATACCACTGCAAAGTGTTCATGTCCACCACACATCCATTGAATGCATTTAGTCCATGACTTTGGGCTCTGTGTTGTGGTGATACTTAGGACAGGAGAGGTGGTTTGTTTTGTGGTTATTGGGCACCAAAGCCAGCTCAGTTTGGGCTCCTGATGCACTTGCTCTGTTTCTTGTAAGTCTTTTCCTCTATAGGTTTGGGTGGTTCTTGTTATAGTAATTCCTATAACATGCAATTCAAATCATGGGTTAGAACAATTTAAAGGTATTTCTACTACAATCTCTTACCCACTCCCTATCGGGTTTAACATTGCAATGAACTCTTCCCCTTGCCCTTATTCCAGCTTGGATTTACCCATAGACTGCAGTCCCTTAGGGTTGTATGTACTCCAAGTGGAGCCTTGTCTGTGAGGCAGTCTCTTCAGGCACACACCTGCTGGTGTATGGGTTTACCCCAGCCACAGGGCCTCTGAGGGGTGGCTGTTCCAGCACAGCCCTCTCCATGGGCCTCAGTGCCTTTGGAGATAACCTGCTCCAGCGCGGCCTCACCCACAGCTGCTGTCCCCTCAGAAAGGAAACCTGCCCAACCTGGCCTTGCTCCTGGCTGCAGTCCCTGCAGGGTGTTCCTGCTCTGCTGTGAGTTTATCCATGGCCACACCCTTTGAGGTGCTCCAGCACGGCCCCATGAACAGCCACTGGTGCTTCAAGCTGTACCTGCTGCATCACGGAGCTGCCCTTGGGCCCTGACTCCTTCAGGGGCGCCCCTGCTGTGGCACTGACACAGCCACGGCCACAGGCACTCCCAGATTACCTGCTTTGGCATGGACTTATTCATGGCCAGAGAAGCTTCAGGATATCCTGCTCCCACGTGGACTCACCCACAGGTCACAGTCCCTTTGACTCAAGCTCACTCTGGAGTTCCAGTGTGTCCAGTACAGCAGCACAGAAACAGCAGCCATGCCCTGGCCATGTGCCAGTCCCTGTGCATCACCTCAAAATGTCCTCAAGCACAGCAGAGTGAGGGGATCAGCAGCACAACAGAGGGAAAGCAAAAAGCAGCCACAGATGAGCACAACACTAATGTACTGTAAGGCATTGGGCCCAGGGCAAGCACAGGAGCAGCCAAAGAGCAATAACAGCTATACATTCCATCTAACACATTCCAATCAAAGCTGTTATCTCGAACCTTCTGAGCCCCACGTTGGGCATCAAAATGAACTGTTGTGGTTTAACCCCAGCTGGCAACACAGCTCACACAGCTGCATGCTCACTGCCTCCCAGTGGGACTGGGTGGAAGAGTAAAAGTGAGAAAAATCATGGGTTGAGTTAATTTTATGTGTAGGATAAAGTACAAAGGGAATTTCTCTGGCAGGAGAATGTATATTAAGGTAGAAGAAAGTGAAGAGCATCACCACTGATGCTGTCCTCTTACAGATGCCCCACTGCAGGTTCTGTTTGGTACTGGTTTTTTTTGTTGTAGTGGTGCACTCGAGGGTTTCAGAAATGCACACCCCAGAGTCCTGCACTCAGGGACCTCTTAACAATTTACAACAAATTGCCTGCTTTACACATTGTGCACCATCCCAGTGCTTTATTCCCAGTGATTGGAGGCAGGGAGTGGCGTGCACACAGGTGGCTGGCAGTTCTGCTCGCTCCCCGGGCTGGCCAGACACAAACAACTGCTGAACTGGAAGCAGTGCAGTTTCATTATGGTGTCATACCTAAGCTACAGGCAGAACACAAGTTGGTTGGAGCTCAGCAGAACTCTGGCTGAACAACTTGGTTTCTGGAGTGAAATTAGATACAGATTTGGACTAAATATGTGATTTTTTTTTTTTTTTTTTTTTTTTACTCATTAACCTAGACCTGTTCAAACATAAGCAGATGGCTGTGCTGTGGATGTGCTATAGGTATATCTGTTGATGTTTTTTTTGCAAGAGACATTGGTTCTGGTGGTTCTGGACTAGTGGGTCTTTCTTACATAGCAGGGAAAATACATGTTCTAGTCATTTTTATTCACTCACATCAGTATATTGATGTACTAAGAATCTTTTACCAGTGTAGAACTAAAGCTAAAAAAACTGTCATGCAGAAACCAGTTCTAAAGAGTGTCCAGCTCTTGGTGGCTTGGTATTTGGAACCACTTCCTTTAGTTTCAATTTGGTGAACTTATATTTATATATTAAGGTTCTGAGAAACAAATCAACAGCAACAATGTTAGAAACACTGCATATAGAATGAAATAAGGCTGAAGAAATGCGGGGAGGAAACAGGATGAAGTGACTTTCCAAATGTGCTGAGTGTCAGGAATCAAGCTCTGTTTTTCTGACTCCCATGATCTATCTTCAGAACTGCCTGCTAGTCCAGTAGCATGTGTATGCATTAAACCAGCAGCAGTCTCTACGCTGAAGATAGGAATATATTGTATACATTCTGCTTTCCTTTGCTGTGCAGCTGCATTGTGGTATTGACTGTATCTTGCTGGGAGCTAGGAGAGAA